AAAGCACAATGGAATACAATTTTGCCACTTTTTTGTAAGATTCTATAATAAAATGAAACAATAACGCCAGTCATAATATAAGACAATACATTGAATGAATTATGAAACACGTATTTTATTTCTATTGGAACTGAAAATGTTGCGTAATGCTACAACCAGAAAAGACAAATAGATTGTGTTGGCCTGTACAGGAGATAAAGACAAAAATTTAACGACAGCTATAAAATGAAACAGTCCAAATCAGAAAATAGATACACCTAAGTAAACTGGACCTGGGCTTGTTGCAGGGATCTGAACATTGCGTGAGTGTATGCACTCACACTTAGGACCATATAATTATAAATACGAGCATGATGAAAGCTGGGCCACACGCTAACGTCTTTAGTCCACTCAGGTGTAGCGGTACTTTGCCCTCTTGTGGATGGCCTTAGACACTGCAGTGGTGAAGCAGGAGCAGGCAGATTCAGGATACATTTATAAGAGTCATAAACTCATGATGAAGAGAAGTGTGTAAGGGCTCTTTTCTTTCACTCATTCATGCTGCATGATGTTTTCCAACAACAACAACAACAACATTAATATTAATAATATTTTGTAATTTTGTAATAATTGATAATAAACTAACTTAGTAAGTTTATTTATATTGTAGTAGTATAGTACTGCTTCACAGAAAATTGTTGTCATTAAAGACAACTTGCTAACCTGCTGTTGTACAACATGTTACTTCCAGTGGATACTGTGTGATGCAAAACATCCACTAACTCTCTGCCATCATGTTAGCATTTCCACGTTCAGTGTTCAACATGATATCAGATGATAAAGTTGAAGGGTCTTGATGGTAAAGGCCAGATTTTACAACTCTCAGCTGAGGATCTGAGTCATGGATCATATATATGAAGTGAGCAGGAAACTGATGTAGAGAAGCAGGATGGGACTGGCGAAGCCTGATCCAAACATTTTTTACTCAAGATTCAAACAACTGAATCTGAAATAATGCTGCTTTGAAAAATACTTTGAATACAGTTACATTTACTCCACCTCACATACTCAGTAAATCAGTTTTTTCATAGATGGAAAATTCAGCAATCACATTTTTTGTGGCACATTTCACAACAACTGCCACTGAGACAGAAAGTGAAGGACAACACAACAAACAGCTGGAGTATTACTGCAGTCTTCATCTTTTAATATGAAAAGCCTTGAGACCGTTGTTGTGATTTGGTGTTATTTAAA